ACTGTTCACCCCTCAGAATCGGAATGTTAGCTGTAGCCGAAAACGTGAAGTAGGTCGGCTTGTATCTTAAAAGTATGTGGGCCGCCCTGCCTTGCTTCTGAAGATTCGAACGGCCAAAGAATTGGAGCGCAGTTTTAATCTGTGCAAGTACAGCGTTGTCGGCCGAAGCAAGAACTTTTTTCAAATCGTTACATATACAAAATAAAATCGTAAGTACAAAGAATTTAAGCCAGATAAATACTCAACAAATATACGTAGGGGATTATATGGCCACCTGGTTCACCTTTTCGCTTAAGCATTGGATCTAGGCGATCTTCGCCCTCGCCGAATTTCCAGTTACCGCGGACAACGACCATGGCATCATTAACACGCTTACCAGAGCTGGCAAGCATAGTCACTAAGTGATGATCAGTATCCTTAGCCCTGAGAAAATAGCATCCCAACCGGCTAATAGATTTGGCTAAGGCATAGCAATGCCGAATTGCAGGGATACCAAGATTAATCCTAAGGCGTTGGTTCAACTCTATAATCCCCATTATGATTCGGAAGAAATTTACATTAGGTTGGGAAGGGATTAGACCCTAGTATCGAAGGACGGCCTTTAAAAATGGGTGAAGGGGAAAACGGACTCCACCCTCAGCAATTGATAAGAGAGGAAAGATGATTGTACTTTCATCAGTCCTCTTCATATTAGTGGTGCTGTCTGCCACGAGTGACAGATGGACGTCGTCGGGGATGGAATAATGGCTTCAAAAATTGAAAATTCGTTCCAGAGAAATGAGTTCTTTCAAGTGTTTTGCCATCCTAGCCAACCTAAGGATTATGCGAAACCAAAAATAAACAAGGAAATGGGATTTGAAATGAAGGAGAAGAGAACTTACAAAAAACAGAAGGAACAATGAGAAATAGGAGGAAGTTGCAGAGGTTGCAAAATGGAAGTATATCGAGAGGAAAACCAGAAGCTTTGAGTATTTAAAAAACTTACACTCGAAGGGACAACATAGTTTCAAATCGCACTAAATGAAGGAAGCGTACGAAGAGGCGGGAAGATGTAATGATGCATGAGAAGCGTGTTCTGACATGCGTTGGAATGAGGTTAACCACCATTCTTTCCTTGACTTTTCAAGTTCAAAACCAAGCATGCTAACTAACTGGCGTTAATAGGATGTTTAGGGGGCAATTGTGGGAGCCGGATATTATGGGGGCAATAAAGCCGAATAACGGTATGAGGACAGTCAATGACGAAATTTGTACTCGGCTTCATCCTGGATGATCCCAAAGCCAAAAATATTAATCAACCGTGGAACCAGTCGAACTAAGGCCGAATACATAAACGTGCAATGGATTAAGGGCGGGCCCGATCCTGAGGCCCAAAAGAAAAATATAAATAGATGAGCATCAGCCAAAGAAAGGTAGGTGAGAACAAGTAAGATTAACTTAAGATATAAGTAACCAAGAGAGTATATACTGACTTATCCGTCGGAGTACTAATTCCGACACCCCCGACCGGAGTGTTCATTCATTTTCAGGTGACTTGCTGAGGATTAAAAGCGTCCTATAAGATCCAGAGAGTATTTCCAAACCACTTCTCCACAAAGGTAATAACCCATATTATAACTGTGTCCATTAATAGTGTAATGGACAGGAGGAGCTTTACCTTGGGCAAGATCAAAAAATAAGGGCAATCAATCCAACACATTCAAGTCATTGTGTGATCTAGATATTCCAAAAAATGCATGCCAAATCCACAACTCATAAAAAACTACTGCTTCAAGAATGATAGTTGGCTTTTTCTAATGGTCTACGTATTGACCTTGCCATGTCGTTGGATAATTTTTCCACTCCCAATGCATGCAATCTAAACTTCCCAACATACCCAAAAACTAACAAACCTCCCCAATAGCAAGCAATCTAGCAATATCAGTTGTTGTTGGAGATCTCAGGTATTCTGGTCCAAAGATTTCAATTACTGAATTGCAAAAGTGTTGCAAACTTTCAATTGCAGTGCTTTTCCCAATACGTACATAATCATCAAGTGCATCTGCTAACACTCCATATGATAATATTCTCATTGCTAAAGTCATCTTTTGCAGGGGAGACAATCCAAGGATATGAGCTGAATCTTGTTTTTAAACAAAATATGGATCGTGCTTCAATAGTATTCGAAATTCGCAGATACAAAGGACAACGCATTCGAAAATGTCTTTGAAATGTTGCAAGTGAATAAACTAGATTTGCCGCAAAATAATCCGTAAGCAATCGCTCATGACCCTTCCATCTATTGCGACGTATGTAATTATGTCCTACAACAAAACCACTTTTCTTTGATCGATCAGTTGATTGCAAAATCTAAATCATACTTGCATTATTTATCTCATAAACCCCCAGAAGTGTGACCATTTTTCATCATCAGACTCATCATCAAAGGATGAGGAAGAAGAAGATGATGAAAATGAAGTGAACATGTAAGAATTTGAGATACTCATTATGCTCTGGTTTCAGTTGTGGTTGGTTGCAGATATCATGTACTTCTTTTCTGGTATATAGTACATGGATTAATGTGTTTATATCATCTTTTTGAAGGAAATCATTATTGAAGGCAACAAAAAATAGAAAATCTTTAGTAGATGGAAAAAGAAATGGGAAACGAATTGGAAAACAGAAATATAGGGGAAAAAAAATTCAGTTGCCTGTCCGGTCGACTGGCTGGTCGTCCAGCCGGACGTCCACTACCTTTTGATGAAAGTTACAGTGCAACCGTTGGAGCAGCTGATATCAGATTGAGGAAGTTGCCTTTTTTTTTTACTCAAATTTGATGAAAAAATTGGTGAATCGTTAGAGATGCTCTAAGACATTAGGTCTAATGGTTTTTTTTTTATTTTTGTTAATAAAAGATCCACACTTTGTGAAATAGTTTGGTGAGAAGTGTTATTTTGTTTTTAATTTTACCTATTGACTTTTTTTTATCTGTTTGACTTTTCGTTGATTATCTGTTCAAATTTATACTTATATGTTCAAATTATTTTTTATCTGTTCAAATTCTTTTGCCTATATGTTCCATTCTTTTCTATTTGTTCAAATTTTTTGTCTATCTGTCCAAATTTTATTAGTTCAACTTTTTTACTGAATTTTATCTGTCAAAATTCTCTCTATTCAATTTTTTTTTTTACCAAATCTTAGCTGTTGAAATAACAAGCCAAACCAAATCTTAACTGTTGAAATGCAAAACCAAGCCAACCCCCTATCTACTGCAACACAGAGCCATACAAAACCTTATCTGTTTAATTTTTTCTATCATCATCAACAGCTCTCCATTGTTCAAAATTTGAACACACCATCACCATCATCATCATAATCATCATCAACAACAACAACAACAACAAAAGTAAAAAATAAAAAATAAAAATTGAATAGATATAAACATTTCAACAACGCACAAAAAACAAAAACAAAAACAAAAAAAAAAAGAGAAGGTTTTTCTACTACTATATATTACAATCAACAACAACTAAAAAAAATAATAAAGAGATGCTTGGGGCAGATGACGAATCAATCGATCATCATTATCATCATCATCGGAAATAGAAACAGATCAAAATATAATCCACAAGCAGAGAGTGGGTGGTTTGAAGAATAGTCGTCTACGATTGCTTGGAGCAGACGATAAATCGATCGATCATCATTATCATTGTTATCCCAGTCAGGCAACCTAATAGGGGGGTGAATTGGGTTATTAAAAAAATAATTTATAATATTAAAAAATAATAAATGCAAAATTCAAAACAATGGTTATCAATATAAAAGTAAGAGAGATAGGGAGAGAAAATCAAACACTAAGATTTATAGTGGTTCGGCACGCCGGGCCTACGTCCACTCTCCAAGGAACCTCATTGAGAATTTCTTTACTATCAAAATGAATCAATACACTACCAAAGCTTTACCAAGCTTGTGAATTTTATACATGTTTTACTTTTATCTATTGAGCCTCACTCAATAATAAATGCCTTACCCACACAAAAATATCTCACAAAATAATGAATAAAAATAAGAGGTACTTTAACTCTCTTTTACAATAATTTTCTTACAAAAAGTAGATATAAAAGTGTAAGAACAAGGACTACTCTTAGATCTGAAAGTGAAAAAGCAAAGTATAATACATTCAAAATTTTGGAGCATACATAATTTTTTCTCTTCAAGTTCTCTAATTTTTCTCCACACACAACATTTCTATTTATACCAAAAACTCTACCCGTTGGAGAGATAGACGCTTCTTCGGATTATGAGAAGTCAGCACAAAGCTCCATCATTATGGGTTCCTTGAAGTCAAAAGCCATATGAAAATTGTGTCTACTTTGTAACTTTTTCTTTTTCTTTTTACAAGCAAATCCAAACCTACTTACAACTTTTTCTTTTCATTATGTAGGCAAAACATCTTCAAGGATTTGTTTACAATAAAAAATTAAATAAGTCTTCTCTTGCAATCATTATAGTATATCAATTTCAAGATTTTGACTATATATATATATATATATTTGATGCACCGCACTACTACTGACTATTTTATAAATCTTTAATATATTCAAAAGATGTTCCATATAAATCAACTATGTTTATAATCGATACATTCAAATATGATTGTAAAGTAAATTTGAATTTAGTACAATATGTATCAAAATGATATAATACAAATTTATTCAAAAGGGACAATCACATCAAATTTGTCAAAGGATGAATAGTGATTAAAAATTTTCAAAATATTTTTATTTAAAAAATATTTATAACAAATGTATCATAAAGTATGTATATTTTTTAAAAATAATATTTTGTGTCAAATTTGTATATTATTTGCATTTTTTCAATTAATATATTAGACATCATCAAAATCAAACAACATGATTAGCAATCATCACGATCGGAAACAAAAACAGATCAAAATAAAATCCACAAGCATTAGATATATGTATATATACACACATAAATGTATATATAAAAATAGAGAGATAGACCAGAATACCTTGGCTTGGATTTTTTTCTGAAAGATAATAGTGCTCGGTAATTTCAGTTTCAATCATCTAGGGAAATATTCACCACTTCCATCTCTCTCATACATGTTTTAAACTCAAAACAATTAATAAATAAATAAAAAAACATATATATGATATATGAAGAATTTCTCCGAACCTGATTCGAATGGACTCTTTTCAAAAGCTACCCTAACAAGTTAGGGTTTGAACGCAGAATCGAAGCATAGACAAATATAGCATTGGCTCATACACAACACCCATTTTTCTTTAGCAAAGAGAGTGCTGGTAATCAGTATTCGACACATAATTTCACAACACCCATCATCATCACGATCATCTCCACCAGCCTCATCCAACGGACAAATCGCTGCACAGATCTTATAAAGTCCTGTATGGAGGACAAAATTTATTATTTGAATATTTTATCTAACTATTATATCCTCTTTCTCTCTCTTACAGCGCTTTCTTTCTCTCTTTACCAACTCCACCACCGATGATTGTTTATTGCCTCTACCATCTCCATCATTGGCCAACGTTACTCATCCTCAGAGTTGACCAGCGACCACTATTTTTACCTTCAATCACCACCATCTTAGATTTAATACCTACGAACTCAGATTTGAGACCAATAACTTCATATTTGAGATAAGTGACCTCAGATTTGTCAAAAAAAATTAGGAATCAATAGATTGCAATGAAAAATCAAGAGCTTTTTTATTTGTTTGTTTGTTCATAGATTTAAAAGTAAGATTCAACTCTGGTTCGTTCATCTAGTATGTATTCTATTTTTTGTAACAGTGAAATTTTACTCTGGTTAACCACAATAAGCTTTGATTGCTAATCTGCTTAACGACAGTAAATTTTACTCTGAATGGTGCTGCGAGTTTGCCTTACTCTGGTAATGACACTAAAATTTTACTATTTACGTCAATTTCAACGATATTTTTTTTTTATTTAAAAAATTTCATAGTCAACCCAGATCTTGTTTTATAGATTTTGATAAGAGGATTCTAAAAATACTAATTTTATTATAAACCGATAGCTAGATCAAAAGTTATATCATTTTAAAGTTTAAAATGTTAAATTAATCACTAAGGATATTTTAATAGTAGTAGTGTGTACTGGAGTTTTCAAAGAAAACTTTTTGGGTTTATCCTTAATGCATTAAAGTTTTATTATTAGAGGACTTTGACCTGGATTTAGGGTGGCTGCTGTGTGGGGGGCACAACAGTTACTGTTGTGCAGCCAAATGAGCTTATTTCAGGGCCCATTTCGATAATCTGAACCGTTCACGTTTTAAAATACATCAAGTAGAATATACTTACAAATAATCAAGTTAATCGGATATCGTTAACCCTTTCATCCACTCACATTCGTATTCATTTTAATACTTTAAATCACAATTGCTATTTATTTTTTGTGGATACAAATGTGAGTTGGTGAATGGGTAAACGATATCTCATTAACTTGATTTTTTACAAGTATGTTCTATTTGATGTATTTTAAAATGTGAACGGTTCAGATTATTGAAATAGGCTCATTTGGCTACATAACAGTGGCGATTGTGCCCCCCGCACAACAGCCACCCCAAATTCCTTTGACCTAATCTCCATATTTTTAATTCATACATTTAAATGAGGCATATTTTGGCAACTAAGAAAAAAGTCATCTTATAGGCTTATTTGAGTCACATTACCTCTCTATTTTTTTTAATGTTTTTTAAAAAAACTAATAAGCCAAAAAAAAAAAAAAAGGGCTTTCCAAAATAGGTCTAAAGGCTTGTTTGGAAAGGTTGGTTTTTAGTCAAAAAAAATCATTATAAGTTGCCAAATAATTTCTTTTACTTTTTACATGTCTTTTCGTAAAAAAGTAAAAAAAAAAATTGTGTTAATTAAAAAAATTTGACTTTTTACAAAAAGATATATAAATAAGTAGAGAGATAATATAATCCAAATAAGTGTACTTATCTATATAAATATATTTATATAAATTATACCAAATACCCTCTCAATTTACAAATGACAATTAAAATGTTGAGTTTTAAAAATTGAAGAGGCAAAAAAGTAAAAAAAAAAAAATTGTGTTAATTAAAAAAATTTGACTTTTTATAAAAAGATATATAAATAAGTAGAGAGATAATATAATCCAAATAAGTGTACTTATCTATATAAATATATTTATATAAATTATACCAAATACCCTCTCAATTTACAAATGACAATTAAAATGTTGAGTTTTAAAAATTGAAGAGGCAACAAGGAAATTATGACAAATAAATTACGAAGGCATGATGTAATTTGTCTTAAATAACTGATATGATATATAATGCTATTCAACGGTCATCAACACATCATCGGCTGCGAGCTATACTTTTTCTTTTATTTTTTTGCTTTTGGTCCACCTTTTTTCAGTTCAAAGCGCAATACAATTACCCTTATTTTCTCAATACATATGCAATGATGATTCATCACTGTTATTTCTTGACCAACTTTTTAAGCTACTTTGATAAATAAATTTGGTTGACCGTCAAGTCTCTCCCAATGTTCTCATGGAGAACGGTAGATGATAATCATGATAAACTACCGCCTAGTGGAATGTTTTGAAAAAATGTTATACAGTATAACAAAAATTATAACTATAGGTATTAATATTTGTAAAATATAGACAATTATTTTTTAAAATTTAAACTGATTTAAAATTTTTCCTAATAATTATTGTGAAACAGTAGAGATTGAAGCAATTATTTATATATATTTTGAAGAAGAAAAAAAAAAAAACTTGAAATTGGTAACATTAATGTTAATTTAAAAATTAATTATATATAATAATATATTACATATGTATTAGATAGTGTGGAAACTCTAAGATCTCATTTGGAAACAAGTTATTTTGGTAATTTTCTAATTAAAATATAAGATAAAAAGATTAATATGCTTTGAATGACTTTTTGTTTTTTTTATGAAAAAAAAAATATAAAAAGAAGAGAGAAAAAGAAATTTCTGATTTTTTATATAATTTATTGGTTTTTAATTTTTTTTAGCAATATTTTTACTTCTAGATTAAAATGTCTATTTGTCAAACAAGGTGTGTGTGTGTCAATTCCTGACTACACTGTCAATCAAGCACTCAGTTGGAGAACACTGGCAGAATAGATTAAGGCCAAACAACCTGTCACAAAAAGAAGAGATTCCAGTGGTGGTTCGTCCACCCGGGGGCACTCCGACGATCAAGTCAGTTATCTCTCAAAGATAGCAAAAGTACTTAACTCACTATTCAGAGCATAAAAAGCATACCTTTGACCCATGGGGGTGCCTCTCTTTTATAGCCAACACTTACATAATCCCAATAGAAGCCTAGCTTCAATGGACTTAGGATTACTGCTAATCTTGGACTCCCAGTAGGATTGGGATAAACTCTCTAAGAGTCTTATCTTTATCCAAACTGAAGTCATCTCCCATTCTAGGACTCTTGTCCCTTATCCGCTTATCCCGGATTCCAATTTTTTCGCAGATAACCTCAGCCTAGCCGAGATCATCTCGGTGTCATGACCAAGACACATGACACCTCGGCTGACACTTCGGTGTCACCTCGGCCACGTATTGTCATTCAAAAATTATGTCCCCATAACTACCCCCTAGGTTCTATTACCTCAGCATCCTGAGATGATGGAACCTATATCATTCCTTTCATTTAGCACATCGGCTAAGTTCGCTTTATCCTTCATTACCGATGTTATCATTTGTCGGCTCAAATATGACCAAGACTTAGGCCTTGTTTGGCATGATCTAAAAAAGTCAAAAAGTCACTATCCTATTTAAGTCACATCATTTTATTTAAATCACATCACCTCTTTAACACATCACGTCAAACCCAACCCATGCCCAACCCATATTTCATAAAAAGTCAAAAAGTGCACTTATTTAGATTATCCCTAACCACTCCTTAGTCTGTTTTCATCAATGCCTTAGAACCAAAAAACTAAGGCCTTGTTTGGTTTGTATTTGAGAAACATGTTTTGAGATAAAAAGTACAAAAATTTGTTTGGTTTGGTTTTTTTTCAAAAGATGTTTTGAGAAATTATTTTGAGAGAGAGTTTTGAAAAAAGTGATTGATTTGATGTGTATGAGAGAGAGATTTGTTTGAAAAATTTGTAAACCAAACGAGTTTTGGAAAAAAAAATTTGGGAAAATTTGTTTAGTTTGATTACTTTTGAAAATTTATTTGTAGAGAATTTTTTCCAAAATTTTTTGAGAAACACAAACCAAACAAGGCCTAAGTTTTGTTCAAGTTTCACAACCAAAATCATCCTTCTAGCCGAGGTCCTACTCCATTAAATTAAGAACTCCAAGAGTTTCATCACGCGTATGAGCTGTCATGCACAGCAACTCAACTGTTTTTGCCAAGTGTCTTTCCCCTATTGAGTCGTGCCCGACACGCGCCATTAAGTCGCATCGCACTTGCATGCGCCGTCTGACAAACACGTCGTCCTAGGCACACTAAATGCGTTTTTGCCGCCGTTTCGTGTGTTTGATCAAAATCACTTCTCTCTCTCTGTCTTTTCACTTTTGCATCTTCGGCTTCGTGCAAGCTTTCTCTCTCTAACTTTCTCTAATCCTCCTATTGCTTTAAGCTCTAAAGCTCTCTGCAAGCACCGCCGTTCACCTCCTCCGGCGAGGTTTTTGCTGATCCTTTCCGTTTGCTGCCATCATCTGACTTCGGCGTACTCAACACCGGCTTCATTTTTCTTCGGTGAGTCATTATTTCCTCCTTTATCAGTCTGTGTTTTTCTTTGTACCTTGTATTTTTTTCTTACTTTTTGAAACAATGTAAGCTTTAATTTGGTCGACGTGCCATTTTTGTAATCTAAACAATCATTCTTCAATGTTAGGCCGAGGTGTCTTCTTTTCTTATCTGAATGCATATACAACTTTTTTCCTTTTCAAGTGCTTTGAATGCTTGTGTTCTTTTTACTCTTGCATGATTGTATACTTAGAATAATTTGTATGTCTTCAATGTACACCTTAACTGTGCAACCTCCTCGGGGTGGAATACCTCGGTTAAACCACTATTGGT